GTGTCATTGTCCTACCCGTTGTTGCAAGATGGATAGTCATAGATTTTACCTAGGAAAACAAAAGTGAGTATGTGGGGTAATGGTTCATCTTGAGGTGGGTGAAATTAGCTTTATACAGTTTCCTACTTTCATCATGAAGTAGATATGGGTAATTTATTTGGTCCAATTAAAATTTAATGGCCAAGAACATTATTTCTGTCTAAGTATGCTTATAAACACGCCAAGGCGTTTTTAATGAATTGTGTTTTCAGCTATAAGGAAATAACTGCAATTCCACTTGTTTCCTGTTGGCAACTAGAAAACTGAAAAACAAATGTAAAACAACTGGTTTTTGGACATTGGACAATAGACCACACAAGACTGTGATCCTTAGGAGAATGTAAAAGGTTCACTTGACCCAGCTGTCTGCCTAGAGACACTTTCTACATCCTGATACTAGAAGGGATGACCCAAGCGGGTACTGACAATCTGACTTAGTCAATGAGATAAAATCGAAATTAACAGAGCTAAATCAGCCAGAGTTTGTGGACTGGAGTACCAAATAGAAAAAAATTCTGCGGGGAAAGAACTACATAAATCTTTGGATCTTTTATTGGATGAGAAGCCAAGAAAAGACCAAGTTGGGGGCTGTAAGCTCAAAAATTTCCAAGCCTGTAGGCTGCTCGCGTTTTGACAAGTCAGGGCAGAGAAGCTCTGCTGAGTATGTGGGCATTCAATATAGAGAGAAAGGACTACGCCTCACCTGGGGACTAAATTGACCCTACAGTAGATTCACTGTAACAATGCTTATAAGGAAACTTCTTAAAAACAAAGTAGATGATCTTTCTCAATTCATTTTTTGAAGTCAGCATTGTCAGTTACTTGGTATACAAGTGCCTGACCTATTTCAGAAAATTCCAGAATTCATCAAGGGAATAATAAAATCTAAAACTCCATGTCCAACATCCAGTCAAAAATTACCAGATTAGATTTCTAGTATAGGATATGCTGAAAAACATGACCTATAACCAAAAAACAAAAACAAAAACAAACTAGTTAATAGAAACCACGGCAGGGAGATTAAAATCAACAGAAAGGATTTCTAAACAGTTATTATAATTATTCTCAAGGACTTGAGTGAACATATTTAGTGAGACAAGAAGTGGAAGCTATAAAAGAAATTCAAGTGGAGCCTTGAAGAGCAAAAACCAAAATCTGAATGAATTTAACAGGAGATTAATCACTGCTCAAAGGAAATAGCAGTCAGTTGGAAAACATGACAATAGAAGCTACAAACTGAAGTATAGAAAGTCAAAAGACTGAAGAAAATGAACTAAAATTAAGTTCCTTCTTTAACAATTTTAAGTGATTAAGAGGGGAGAGAAAAATATGTGAAGAGTTAATGACTGACATTTTTCCAAATTTGTTGAAAGCTGTATCTCCAAGGCCAAAAAATGCTCAATAAACCTCTAGACTGGTAAGTAAAAATGAAACCAAACCAGAGCACATTGTAATCAATTGCTTAAAAACAGTGATAAATAGAAAAATCTGAAAACAGATAGGAGAAATGACACATTACATATAACAAATAAAAATTAGCACTGACTTCTCATCAGAAGTCAATGGAATGATATCTTTAAAAGACTGAAAAGAAAAACTTTCAGAAAATAGATGACCTTTCTCAATTTCTTTTATGAAGCTTGCATTGTTCTAGAGAAAACTAAACAACAACAACAAAAAAATAGAAGAAGAAGAATAAAAAAAAATTTTAAAAAAATAAAAACCAGGCAGGCATCCCTTGTGTAAGTAGATGTAGACTAGCTGTGGTGGCACAGGAGTAACAATGCTCTGCAGTGCTGAAGCCACATGGAGGGCCCAGGTTCTCGTCCATGGTCTCCCTGCACATGCTGGTGTGCACTGGTGTGCCTGTAATCCTGACTGGTGAGGCTTAGGTACATCGCAGTGTAAAGACTGTTGGGATACCTTTTCTTTCTTTCTCTCTCTTTCTCTGTCTCTCACTGTCATAGAAGAAATAAATAAGTAAACTTTGAAAAAGATAGAATAAATCCCTAACAAAAGTTAGCAATTATATTCCATAATATGTAAAAAGTTAATGCATTATTCCAAGGCTGTATCCTAGGACTACAAGATTGTTTTCTAACAATTAAGGATAAAAATCATATCATATTAATAAAAGCCGAAAAAGCATGTGGCAAAATTCAGCATCGATGATAAAAACACTCGACACTCCAGGGGTAGAAAGGAAACTTCCTTAACCTGATAACCACAAATAACTTGCAGAAACTCTAAACTCCTATAAACTTAGGAAGAAGATTCAGGAAATCTACTGTCACTTTTTTTGAGTTTATTCACTTATTTCTCTCAGAAAGAGAGAGGCATCCCCATCCAGGTTTTCACATTTTGATCCTCCCCAGCCTTAACCAGTCTGGCTCATACACTAGGTTGGTGTATGCGTCAGCATGGACAGGGAGGCTCCAGGCTGCTGACTGAGGACCTTCCTATGTGGGTCCAGTTGTGTTAATAATGCTCCTCCCTCTGGGCCCATTTCATCTTCTACTTATCTGATGGAAAAATAAAAAGGATAATTGGCTTTACTCACAAATGACATGATTGTGTACATATACAATTGAAAGGGCTCTAGAAACCTGCCACTAGAAATTGGTGAATTGAACAAGATCACCAGAATCAAGTCAATGCACAGCAAGGGAGTTGAGCACTGCTTTGACAGCAGGTAGTACTGCCATGCGTATCTAATTGGCCTGTATGGTGCTGACCTGTGGGCCTGCCACTGCTGCAGTCAGAGAAGGCAGAAAGCTAGAGCAGAGCCCCTGGCATATGTGAGTCCGTGGGTCATTGCTGACTTCAACCATTTAGAAGGAAATTTTGGGTTCTCCATTGTTGTCCGTTACTATCAACGTTACCTAATTCAATACATTCATTCCACAATGAATTGCATTTTTGCCATGTTCCAGGCAGGGCACCCTGGAAACTCTGGAAAGCAGAAATTAACTAGATGTAGAGAAGAGCATTCTTCTTTATTTTTATTTATTTTTTTTTTTTGAGGTGTTTTCCATAGGATGTGTGCACTCGCCAGAGGCAGACAGTGAGAGGGAAAGTGAGAAATCACCCCCGGGGGGGATGGCCACACTGCAATCCTTTCTTCCTCCATTCTCCTCCTGGGGTTTTGGGGATGCATACACTCACACTCCATGTGAGTTTTAAGCTGCTGGGCCCAGGGGTTGAGCCAGGGTTGGCCATGTGGAAGGCCAACACCTTTAACCACTGTGCCACCTGTTGGCCACAGGAAGAGCATTCATTCTACAAGGTAGAGTAGCACGAACGAAATCTTTCTGGCAGAAGGAGCCTGGCCAGTGTGTAGAACTGGAAGGATGTTGGTGTGGCTGGAGCAGAGTGTCGGGTGCATGCAGTGAGGAGACTGCCATGTGGGAAGGAGCCAGGCTGCCCAGCACCTTGTGCACAGCTGCAGCCACAGACAGCATGAGAAGAAGTTGTCCTCTCTGCACTGCCTTCAGAAATGGTGCCTTTCAGCCATACACTAAGTTTTCAAGACCACAATAAAAAGACATTAGCAAAGACAGTGACAGCATGCTCCTCATGAGTCATGCAGAGACAGTCACCACCCAGGAGTGGCCCGTTTTTATTTGGTTCCTTCCCAGACAAAACCACAGGCCACACCCCCAGGTCTGTGCTCAGACAGTAGATTTGTGCCAGACACTATTGTAAATAGCTTATTTTATTGTCGCACTGAATGTCCACGACCAGCCTATGTGCTAAGAACTGGCACTGCCCCTTTTATGGACAGACACCAAGATTAGTAACAGACCTACAGTCCTGCAGCTACTAAGCAGTAAAATTAGAAACTGAACCCAGGCAGTCGCTGGAGGCCAGTTCATTATCACACAGTGCTGATGTTGGAACCTAATGGCGGCTCTGCTTGTGGCCTGTGTGGAGATGTTCTGTCTCTATGCAGGAAAAATGGAAGCCATGATGAGGTTTCCAGCAGGGGGTTACTGGTCAGGTTGCATTTCCCTTCAATTTGCACAGAAAATGGACAGTTCACAAGGACACCTTCACTCCTAAGGTGCTTTATGGTAGTTGTAAAACAGCCCACAAGACCAGGAAACAAAGGAAACGATTGAGACACACTCATTGAAATTTCAGGGGCAACTTGAGGGATAGTATAATAGGCCTAATAGCATTTCTGTTACGGAGGCTGATGGAGCGCATTTGCTTGATGGATGTGCTGTGAGGAAAGTGTCCAGCCCTAGGGACTCAAGTGTCTGACTGGATTCTCATGAAGCCTGGATGCAGTCACTCACTCTGCGTTTTCTGGGAAGAGAGAAAAGAATAATCTAGAAAACGTATGGAAATTGTGGGCTTATGTTTCTAGCAGCCCAACTCACATCAGTGTCAAGGATCTCATTTTAAGGGTCTTTGTTATTTAGTACATGGAACCACAAACCCCCAAAGGGCACGGGTTATCTTTTCACTAATATTCTGAAATATTCCCTTAGGCAAATCAACATTTGCTGAGTCCCGAGTCTATACCAAGCTGTGCCTCATGTACCCCTCAGGAGAGTCCTGCCAGGGACTGTGGATTCCTCATCCTAAGCAATGAGGAAACTCTGAGGCCAAAATAGTCTTAAGGAACATGCCCAGTGTCTCACGGTGAGCTAGACAGAGGCTGTGGAGTTTGGTCCAAAGTCGTCCTGCCTCCATAGCCGGTGCTCTTTGGTACTCCTTATAAAAATATGTCACTGAAAGTGGATGCCTAGTGTCTCTGATGCACTGAACAGAGTATGGAAAAGATTCTGGTCTTTGCAGACATAGGAAAGTCTGCCTGTCATCTGGCTACTATAATAAAACCGATGTTAGTAGAAGCAGCAATAATAATACAGCGTCTTTGCTCCCTTCCCGTTCTCACTGAAATAAAGGTTCAGCTGCAGGGCTGTTGCTCCAAAGTCTCTTTTGTTCCACAGCTGCAGAACCAGGAGCTGCTGAGGGCCATGATGAAGAAGGCTGAGCTAGAAATCAGTAGCAAAGTGATGGAGACGATGAAGAGACTGGAGGATCCTGTGCAACGGCAGCGCGTCCTGGTGGAGCAAGAGAGGCAAAAATACCTTCATGAAGAGGAGAAGATTGTCAAGAAGCTCTGGTGAGTGCCAGTCATGTGCTGCGTGGTCAGCTGCTTGACCTGGAAGGAGAATTGCCTTTGCCAACAAGGAGGTCCTCCTAGTTGATGTTCTCTCCCTCTGTCCTTATGGAGCCCCTACTGTGTACAAGTTAGAGTCCTGCTGGTTCTGGTGTGCGTAGACACCTAAGCGCTCCTCTGTTGAGGCCCAGGAAATTCAGCAGTCCTCAGATGACTGTGCTGAGCTCTTTAAAATTGTAGCATCATGCAGAGACCAGCCAAAGGAAGTGGGAAAACACAATGATAAATGGAAAGTTTGTATTTAATCTCAATAAATTAAAACTAATGGCCCAAATAACACAGTACTAAAATTATCTTCCTATTATTCATCCGTAGTTAAAATTGCAAAAGAAGAATTTCAGTGTGAAGTGTGTCTGACCCAGGATAAAAGATGCGTCCTTGGGTGTTATGAATGTTGTTTAAGGTTCTTTTAGAAAGCATCTATCAAGTCCCACTGTTGAGCTGAGCAGAGTTTTATTACTCCCCCATCCGGAGGCAAGCACATCTTTTATGTTAATGTATGTTTTGTTATGCAATGAAGATTCATCATAGAGCTATTTCACCTTTTAGTAAAATGAATAGGGATGTTTTTTCTGAGTGTCTCTAATGTTGGTAGCTCGCTTATTTCTTAGAGAGTTTAAATCTCCCAGATTGGGATTATAAGGGAGCAAGTTGCAAATTTTCTTCAAGACCAGAATGAACAAGGAACCAGCAGTTAGCGTAATGGCTATGTCGCTGGACTCCCACGTAGTCGACCGCGGTTCGCGTCTCGGACCCGGTGGCTTAAATCTCACGCCGGGCGCGTGTGCGTGCGTGCCCAAGATCCCGAGAGGAGAATGGAGGAGAAGGGATTGCAGCGTGACCATCCCCCCCTGGGGGGTGATTTCTCGCTTTCTGTCTCTATGTCTCTCTCTGTCTGTCTGGCGAGCGCACGCGCCCTATAGCAAAAACCTCTCCAAAAAAAAAAAAAAAAAAGAAAAGAAAAAAAAAGACCAGAATGAACAGAAGTCTCTGTGATAGAATGTGTTATGTTCTAGTGCCTATGTCACCTTTGAGCCCTAGCTTATATCACACTAGATACCAAACCATTATGTTTGATTAAAATGAGAATGTCCCAGGGCCAGACAGTGGCGCAATGGTAAAGCACTGTGCTCTGTGAGACGGATCTACCTGGGAAGGTTCTGGGTTCACATCTCGAGACATCCCTGAGTGTTCCCATGATCCTGGGCTAGCTGAGGGATTCATTCTTTCTGTCTTCCCCTCTCCCTCTTGCTCACAGAAGAAATAAATCAATTCTTAAAAGGTTAGAATGCCCCTCTCAGCAGTATTGAAAAAAAATAAAATCAGAGGTATTATTTTCCTAACAAATTAAATTAGGCTACTCTTCATCCATGTCTCAAAAGAGCTTTTAAATTTTTACTTAGTTCATCCATTTGTAGATAGAGTTAATCACTCCCCATGAATCAGTAGGGCTATGATTTGTCTGAAATGTTTTTGTGGTAATCCAGCTATCTAAAACTAGGTCTCAAGATTCTTCCTTAAAATTGGGGACCAGCAGTTGGCATAATGGCTATGTCACTAGACTCCCATGTGGCCGACTGCAGTTCAAGTCCCAAACCTGGTTGCTTAAACTCACACCGGGAGCATGAGCGTGCAGCCCAAGATCTGAGGGATTTCTCACTTTCTGACTCTCTGTCTCTCTCCATCTTTCTGGCGATCGCACATGCCCTGTAACAAAAATCTCTCCAAAAAAATTTTTTTTCTTTAAAATATATTTTATATGTATGTTTATATACGTGTGTATATGTATGTGTGTATATATACACACATATTTTAATAGTATTTGCTTAATTTTTCTAATGAAATGTTGAAAAAAGGCAAATTTCCTTTCTTTAAAAATTGTGTTTATTGGGCTAGCAGGTGGCATGGTGGTTAAGGTGCTGGACTCCCATATGGCCAAACACAGTTTGAATTCCAGACCTGGTGGCTTCAAAATCATGCTGAGCGTGTCTGTATGTGCATGCCTAAAATTCCAAGAAGAAAATGGAGGAGAAGGGATTGTGGCATAGCCATCCCCTCTGGGGGCCGATGCCTCACTTTCTCTCTCACTCTGTCTCTGGTGAGCACATGCACCCTATGGCAAAAACCTAGTAAAATATATGTTTATTGGTTAGCTGAGATAGCTCTAGCTTCTAGCCTAGAATAGCCATCTTTAATCTCAGTGATATGAGACTCGTGCCCAAATTAGGAATGAGGTAGGAAACATAGACATGTCTTATGAGGTCTTCACCTGGTTAGCTTTGTGGGTGACCACAAATGAGCAAGATGTGCATGATGCCCTTGAGAAGCTCCAGTCCAGCAAAACAGAAAGCATAAATAGAGATGAGTATAACACAACACAGGTGATTTACAGGTGCCAGGTGACCCTTCACGAAGGAGAGGCTGCTTCTGACCCCAGGGATCAGGAAGACTAAGACTTCACCTGAATATATGCCTCAAAGGCCGGGCACAGTTCCATGAACATAGTAGTCTTGAAAGTGGTTTGTTAAACCGAACTGAGATGGCTCTGAAGTCGGGAAGGATTTCATCTGTAGAAGCTAGAGAGGGAAGGTCTTCCAGGGATAGGAACTTGTGAACCCACATATCTCTGGCCGAAGGAAGTGCAGGACATCCTTGGGGAATTAGGGGTAGTCCTGCTGGCTGAGAGAGTTGGATGTCAAATCCTGATAAAGTCTCATGTTTGAGGTTGTGCCATTCCCATTTATTAGTACTTTACTATAGCTTAAGCCAGTGGACCCCAACCTGTCCAACTCCGGGGACTAGGCTCATGGAACTCCATCCCTCCATGGATGGAATTGGTGTGGGTGGGGGGTTGGTCCTGACATGACCCATCCTGGGATGAACACCCACCGCGTATCCCATTTCCTCTCCCACATTGCAGTTAATGGTGAATCAATCACACAACAGGGCTTGTGCTGGGAATCCAAGACTACCACTGACCTATCAGGAGGGGGCACCCAGGCGGCCATGTGAGTGACAGAGAGTGGCTATAAACACAGACAGTGCCCACTGCCCATCTGCTACTGGACAGCCCAGGCCCCCAGTAGGCCACAGACTGGTACCAGTCAATGGCCTGGGACTTCAAGACCCCTGGCTTAGACCATGCTGGGGCCATGGGTACCCGTCTGATGCCTGTGTGGACTGCTTACTGACATAGACAGATCACATAGCACAGAAGTGGATTTCTGGCTTTTCCTGAGAGGTTCTCAGTCCCACCCCGGATTCAGAATCTTTGTCTGAAGACCCGAGTACTCTGCACGGGTGATTCCAAGGCACTTCCCTATTCAAGAGAAGGCATGACATGATGAAGTCGTTGACATGATTTTTATCAAGAAAGTAACAGTCGGGAAGGTGTCTTGGGCAACCGAGTACAGGGCTGACAGGAAGGGAGAGCCTGGTATCCAGGAGACTATTTTGGAAACTTCTGTAACAGTCCAGGCTAAAGGCAATAATGCAGTCAAAGTAGGAGAAGAACCCAACGCAACGTGCACTAAGATGTAATCATGTCAATTTACAGATTGGACGGGTCCAAGTGGCAAGACAGCTGGAAATTTCAGTTTTGAAACATTAGAACAGTGGTGTCTTCCTTTCCTCTCCTCCTTCTCTCTCTCTCCTCTTTCCACATAGTAGGAAAATAAATTCCTTCGGGAAGCCTATTAGGTGACGTTTCTGGTGAGCCATTCAAATCCCAGAGAGATGAAATTCAAGTCCAGAACCGTGGAGAGAAATTGGGTCAAGATGATGCTTCCATGTGGAAATAATAATTGGGCTTTTAATAACAATAGAATGAAATGTAACAAACTATATGCTGCTTATGCTGCCAGCAAGAGCGACAGAGACAGTGAGAGGGAAAGTGAGAAATCACCCCCCAGGGTCACACTGCAGTCCCTTCCCCAAGGTTCTCTTCCTAAGATCTTGGACACACATGCATGCGCACCCAGCATGAGTTTCAAGCCACCAGGTCTGGGACTCAAATCGTGGTGATTACATGGGAGTCCAGCGATGTAACTGCTATGCCATCCACTGGCCTGACCATATGCTGGCCCGACCATATGCTTCTTTTTTAACAAAGTTAGAATGAAAGCAGCTTAAAAAAGAGAGAGAGTGAGAATGGATCTGGGGCCAGTAGATGGCATAGCGGTTACGTCGCTAGACTCCCACATGGCCCACCACAGTTCAAGTCCTGGACCCAGTGGCTTGAAAATCACACCAGGCATGCATGTAAATGCATGCCTGAGATCCCAGGAGGAGAAAAGAGGAGAAGGGATTATGGCATGGCCATCCCTGCTGGGGGGGAGGGGGGGTTTCTCACTTTCTCTCTTTTTCCAGCAAGCACACATGTCCTAAGGCAAAAACCTCTTAAAAAATGTTTAAAAAAAGAGAATACATTTACCAATAAACTACTGCATCTGTCCACGTTCAGCATTCTTTTGTGCAGAGTTGACATCTCAAAAGTCATATTGATTTCTATATCAAAAGTTTATTTTCAGGACCAGCAGTTGGCGTAATGGCTATGTCGCTGGACTCCCATGTAGTCTACCGCACTTCGAGTCCCAGACCCGGTGGCTTAAACTCAGGCTAGGCGCGTGTGCATGTGTGCCCAAGATCCCAAGAGGAGAATGAAGGAGAAGAGATTGCAGCATGGCCATCCCCCCTGGGGGGTGATTTCTTGCTTTCTGTGTCTCTTATCTCTCTCTATCTTTCTGGCAAGCGCATGTGGCCTACAGCAAAAACCTCTCCCCCCCTCAAAAAAAAAAGTTTATTTTCAGCATTGGTTTTAGTTCCATTTCTCTTTCACAGTTTAAATTGTGAATTGGATCTTCAATTCCTCATTTAAAGTAGGCATCATAAACATCCAGCTAGAAGTGATGTTGTAAACAGTCATGTTAGGCATTAGTGTACACCAGTACACATTTCTGATTATCCCACCATCCAAAAAGAGCTGTGAAGTTCAAGGGACCCTCGTGTGCAGGGTTATGAAATCCAGGAGGCACATGATGTTGAGGAAACTAAAATAGAATTTTAGGCAGATCAACTCTGGGTCAGATGACAGCTCCTTGGAGTTTTCATTGCAAACTGCTGACTCGTTGGGTGTTAATGTAACCATGACAACATTTGGGTCTTAGCTCTTCCATGAAATCTTGGAAGGATTGGCCTGTGTGTGTCCAGTCAACCGCACGGAAACAGTTGTTTGCTTATGCAATGACAAGAACGTTCCCACACAGAAGTACCGTATTTAGAGCTTTTATGATGAACCCCACACATTCCCTCTGCCTAACGTGGGCACAGGTAGTATGGTTTCCTTTTCTGTAACAGAACTAAAGACATCACCCTAAACTCCATCCCGTTTCTTAGATGTGGATGAATCTGTCGTTTGCTCCGTGGACCTTGTCAAATCTATGGGATGTCCTTCCTGACCTCCTCTTGCAGCTGTCGTGGGATGCATAGTTCCATCCAAGTGCCCATCCGGGTCTTTGCGGGCCACCTTTTTTTAAGATCACCCTGTGCCTGCCTTTTCCTCTTCCTGCTGCCTATTCCACCTGCAGGGTGGCAGGCGGTGCGTCCTCGCCGTTCACTTACTGCCACCTAGTGGTCCTTCCCTTCATTTCTCAAAATTCTTTTCCCCTGTTGTTATTATTATTATTATTTTATTTATTTACTTTTTTTAAGATTTTTGCCATAGAGTGCTTGTGCTCACCAGAGAGGGAAAGTGAGAAATCACCCCCAGGGTAGGGATGGCCATGCAGCAGTCCTTTCTCCTCCACTCTCCTCTTAGGATTTTGGGCATGTACACATACACACCTGGTGTGTTTTTCAAGATACTGGGTCCAGGACTACAACTGTGGAGTTCACCATATAGGATGCAGTGGCTTAACCACCACGCTACCTGCTGGCCCCTTCCTCTGTTAATTGAGAGAGGTTTTTTCTTGAATTTATAGATAAACTGAACTGCCACAAACGTGCTTTGAGGGTGGGGCTAGCGATACGCCCAGAGGCAGGATGTCGTTTCAGTGGAAGACCCTTAATTGAGCTCTGTTGGAGCTGGTATGGCTCTCTGCACACGCGTATGCACACGTGTATGCACACACACCCCACACACCACACACACACACCACAAAGATCAGACTTGTAGTCATTTCTCCTCTTTGTAGCTTGGGAAGTCAGGGGTCAATCATTGTTGATGGGGTAGTCAGTGTAAGTCAGAGGTTCTCAATCAGGCAGTTTTGCTCTCCCTCCCCAAGGGACATTTGACAATGTCAGAGACCTTCTCTGTCACAAGCTTGAGGGACTGAAGTTGCTCCAGGCATCTCCTAGGAAGGCCAGGGATGAAGCTAAGTACCTATGACACACAGTACAGTCCCCGCCCCAGAAGGATTATTTGGGGTTTGTTGTTGTTGTTGTTGCTGTTGTTGTTGTTGTTTTGGAGAAGTTTTTGCTATAGGGTACGTGCGCTCGCCAGAAAGACAGAGAGAGACAGAGAGACAGAAGGTGAAAAATCACCCCCCAGGGGGGATGGCCACGCCACAATCCCTTCTCCTCTATTCTCCTCTCGGGATCTTGGGCACGCACGCACACACGCCCCGGCATGAGTTTATGCCACTGGGTCTGGAACTCGAACCACAGTCGACTATATGGGAGTCCAGTGATGTAGTCATTACGCCAACTGCTCATCCTCCAAAAGGAATTATTTGACCCAAAATGTCAAACACCAAAGTTGAGCAGCCTGGTAGAAACCAATTCCTCCATCTCAGGTTGTCTCCCGCACTCTTAGTCTCGCGCTTACTCTCTCCCTCTCTCATCACAAAGTGCATCTGCCCCTCCCTCAGCTGCCATCGGCACCAACCAAAAGGAAGAGTGGGTAGTGTGTCAGCCTGGGCCGCCCCGTGGACAGGCCCTGGGAAATGCCTTGTACCACCTTACAGCTCCACGGGGAGTCCCCAGGATACCAAGCTACTATTCCAAGATGTGCTCCCGCCTCCCAAGGGAAAGGCTAGGGCGGGGCTGGGGCACCAAACAGAAAAGGAGGCCCGGGGCCAGCAGATGGCATAGTGGTTATGACGCTGAACTCCTGCATGGCCCATCACAGTTCAGGTCCCAGACCCAGTGGCTTGAAACTCATTTCGGGTGCATATGCATGAGTGCCCAAGATCCCAGAAGGGACCAGCAGATGGCGTAATGACTATGTCACTGAACTCCCATGTAGCTGACCGCAGTTTGAATCCCGGACCTGGTAGCTTAAACTCACACTGAACATGTGTGCGTGCATGCCCATATCCTGAGAGGACAATGGAGGAGAAGGGATTGTGGCATGGCCATCCTACCTGGGGGGGTGGTTTCTCTCTTTCTGTCTCTCTATCTCTTTCTGTCTTTCTGGCGAGCGCATGAGCCCTCTAGCAACAACCTCTCCAAAAAAAAAAAAGATCCTGGGAGAAGAATGGAGAAGGGATTGCAACATGACCACCCCCCTGGGTGGTGGTTTCTCACTTTCCTTCTCACTGTCTGTTTCTCTCTCTGGCAAGTGGATGTGTCCCAAGGCAAAAACCTCTTTTTAAAAAAGAAAAAAGAAAGGGAAGTCGGACGAGCATGCGGCTGTCCTGTCCCCGCTGAGCACTCCCTTGTCCAGCTAAGCCCCTCCATATTCAGCCATCTGTGGGTCTGCTTGCTCCCCAGCGAGTTGGAAGACTTCGTGGAAGACTTGAGGAAGGACTCCACGGCAGCTGGCCGGGCGGTTACCCTAAAAGACGTGGAAGATGGGGCCTTCCTCTTGCGACAAGTGGGAGAAGCTGTAGCTACCCTGAAAGGTGCGTTTTCTGATCCAGGGGAGAAGTCTGCAGTGTTTCCTGAGCTGTTTAAAAATGCTCAAAAAGTGGGGCTTCATCCATCCCTGGGGAGATCTGTCACACACACAGCTGCAGGTGCTGGGCTCTGCTCTGGATGTCGTGTCCCGGGGCAGACTAGGAAATGTTCCTGCCGTCTCGGAGTTCACATTCTAGAGGGGCCGGTGAGGTTGGGACCAACCGACACCCTACAGATACCTAGGTCAGACTCAGAAAGCCACTGCAGAGGTTGGTGGGCGTATCCCAAAGGGACGGACAGGAAATGACCCAGAGGAGCACCGACCTGCCCAGGGTCGCTTTGTCTGACACTCAGCCTTTGAAGGGGTGTGAGCTGCACTCAAGCTTGTGAACTCCCCACTTCTCCGCTTATCTGCTGTCGGGGTGCAGGATGCGGGGGGCGGTTGTTCTGGCCCCTTCTCCTATGTACGGTTTTGGCCCACAGGGGAATTTCCCACCTTGCAAAACAAGATGCGGGCCGTCCTGCGCATCGAAGTGGAGGCGGTGCGGTTTCTGAAGGAGGAGCCCCACAAGCTGGACAGCCTGCTGAAGCGGGTGCGAAGCATGACCGACATCCTGACGGTGCTACGGAGGTAACTACGCCCCGCCCGGGGCTGCTGAGGGGCGAGCTGAGCTGCGGCGGGGCGAGCCGGGGGGGGGCCAGGAAAAATGCGGCGCGAGCCGCCGGGGGGCCGAGCCGGTGCGGGCACAGTTGGGACTCCAGGCTTCCGCCACGCTCCGGGGACCGTGGTGGTGACATATCAGGTCCTATTTCCAGTGTTCTTAGGAGACACCACAGCCCCTACCATCCGTGTACCTGTATTATAGCCTGGCTCGAAGTTCGGATCCTCAGCACAGTTTGCTGCATTGGATCCATCCTAAGCTTTAAAATTGGTAAACACAGTGAACAATTTTTTTAAGAGGTTTTTGCCTTAGGATGCATGTATTCACCAAGGAGAGAGAGAGAGAAAAACAGAAACAATGGGAGAGAAAGTGAGAAAGCAACCCCCACCAGGGATGGCCATACCACAATCCCCTTTCTTCCATTCTCTTCCTGGGATCTTGGGCACTCACGTACAGGCACCCAGAGATATTTTCAAGTCCCCAGGTTGGGCACTCCAACCAACCCACCCTGTGGGAGTCCAGCAACGTAACCACTACACCATCTGCTGGTCCAAGTGAACAGTTTTTTAAAAAATCAGAGTTGAACAGCCCAGTAGAAACCAGGTAGATTTTTTTTTTTTTCAGGTAGATTTTTTTAAATAACAATGCCAAGAAGAAGAATGAATAGAAATAGGGTTTTGACCTCCTTCACCTCAGGGGCTTCGATGACTTCCCATAACAAAACTGAGTAGAAATAAAGTTGTTCTTAGATTATCCACTGAAAGAGTATCTCAGAGTGTGTGGGTCCCACCTAGAGAAAAGAAACAGACCCTTGCACGGCCCTTACTGAGGGCGAACTTGCTCCTCCAGAGGGTCACAGAGGAGCACAGATAAAAGAAATGACCGAGTCATCCACGACTTCCATTGAGAAGAAAACTCTGAACTCCACACTCACTAAGAAAGTACCGTCATAGGGTCAGCAGGTGGCATGGTGGGTAAGGTGCTGGACTTGCACATGGGTGACTATGGTTCACATCCCGGACCCAGCAGCTTAGAAATCGGGCACTTAGAAATCGGGCACTGCGTGTACCTGGAATCCCAGGAGGAGAATGGAAGAGAAGGGATTGCACACCCATCCCCCTTGGGGAGGCAATTTCTCACTTCCTTTCTCACTGCCTTGAGCAAATGCATGTGCCCTACGGCAAAAAAAAAAAAAAAAAAAAAAGGTACTGTTGTACACTTACACAGATTTTGTGCTGCCAAGAAGCACTTTCGTAATGACACCCTGCATGCTCTTTGAGTTCCAGTGAGGTCTCTTCTCCACAGAATAGTAACAATGACGTCCACCTCTACACACCTTCAATTCAGGAACTGAACTAAGCCCTTTACATGTCTCAGCTCATCTGATCCTAACTAAAAACCCTACGGGCAGGTGCTGTTGTTGCTGTTTCACAGGTAGACCCTGAGGTTTGCGGGTGTAGCCGCTGCAGGTCAGAGGTCGGGCTGGGCTGTGACCCCAGTGCTGTTGGCTTTTGTCTCACTGCCAGGCAGCCAGTAATATTTACACGTCCCCCTGGAGCAGAACATGATGACCATGGGAATAAATAAGACAATGCCCCACCCCCCCCCAGCCATCCTGACAGATCTTACTTTCTCACGTGGGAAAAAGACAGTAAACGATGACCAGAAATCATGCCCGTGTTATTGAAATGCTCTCAGTCTCTTTTTCTGGTCTGAAAAAAGGTCGTGCATTCTGTTGACTCTGCCCTGCTTCTAATTTCCCCACTTCTTTCACCATTAAACTTTAACTATCCCAGCCCCTTAAGCCCCCAAGAATCCCCAAGGATTTGTTCTATCCCTTCTCTTTCCCACTTTGCAAAAGCGCCAGTCCCTGAATTTGCAGTTTTTCAATAGGACTAGGAAATTGTAGGAAGCTACTCTTCAGATCTTAGGCAAGGTTTGAGATCAGCTCCCCACCACCAGTAACATACAAGAAACTTCCTCCTGGAAATGATAATCACCGTCATCGTTTGAGCAGACTTATAAGAGAAATATATTAAGTATAGCCAACTTTAAGATGGAATATTAACCATAAAAAGCAAGTTTGATTTTTTTCTAGTACAAAAAAAAAAATCCTAAAAAAGAACCGCTTTGGGGATAAAAACACTCCACAGCAACTCTATAGTCACTTTTGTTGGTTCCAGGATGCCAGAAAACTTCAGAATCAAAACCAGATATACTGCTTCCAACTACAGAGTCCGTATCTGACTATGTACAGGACGAAATTGTGTATTACATTTTCTCATGGGTTCATTCGTTTAATTAACATATATTGGCCAGGTGGCATGGTGGTTAAGATGTCTGGGTCCCACATGGCTGACTCTGTGCTTTGAATTCCAGAAATGGCAGGTCGAAAAACATGCCAGCCATGTGTGTGTGTGTGTGTGTGTGGTTGCCCAGAATCCTGAGAAGAAAATGGAGGAGAGAGTATTTCAGCATGGTCATTCCCCCTGGAGGGTGATTTCTCACATTCTCTCTCTTTGTCTCTCTCTCTCTCTCATGCATGTATGTATGTGCCGTATAGCAAAATTTTAATTCAAAAAATGTATCTATACATATATATATGTAAATATATGTATTTGTGTGTGTGTGTGTGTAATAGTTGTGTATGTCTGTGGAGTAGAATGTGACTTGTGAGTGCAAGAATATGATACATAGTGATTAGATCAGTAATTAGTATACCCATCATCACAAACACTTATGGCTCACTCATTTTCAATTGTCAGTGTCTTTCTCTTCGAGTCAACTAAAAATCTGTTAAAAGGGTTTCTCATTAAGCCATACTTAAATGTGTTAAGCCATTCACAAAGTCTAAAACAAAGGCCCTTATTAAGTGGAAATCGACAGAGGGCTGCAGGTGACAGCCCCATTCTCCCTCCTCTTCCCTGAAAAACCATCATATTTGTCTTTTCTCCAGTGAATGTGAGTTCTAAAAAAGATGGGGTTGTGTGTGTTGAATGTTAGTTATGTGACTCTCTGTCCCATAAACGTTCGGTGTGGATGGTGATTTATAAAGCCAGTTCAGAAGCTTACTTAAAATAAAAGGAATTTTAGCCGCCAAGCTAAAAGTTTATAGCATGCTATACTTGGCGTGGGGGGAGAACACAGGAAGGTAGGAGTATGTATGCCCCAAGGACATGTGTATGTTTCTGTGCCATGGCAGTGAGGGTAAAGAAGGTGACAGTCACAGTTCATAACAGACTTAGGGTCTTGGGAAGGTGCTGAAGGGGTTGGACACATTTTGAATCTGAGGTGTTAGAAGAATATCTATTTTTTTTTTTGAGAGGTTTTTGCCATAGGGCGCGTGCGCTCGCCAGCCAGCCAGGGAGAGACAGGGAAACAGAAAGCAAGAAATCACCCCCCAGGGGGGATGGCCACACCACAATCCCTTCTCCTCCATTCTCCTCTCGGGATCTTGGGCACACACACACACACACACGCGCCCGGTGTGAGTTTAAGCCACTGGGTCCGGGACTCAAACCACAGTCGACTACGTGGGAGTCCAGAGACATAGCCATTACGCTAACTGCTGGTCCTGGGAGTGATACATTTTAACAGTTAATACTGCTGTGCATGGTTTCTCCTAGACATGTTACCGATGGGCTCCTGAAGGGCACAGATGCGGCCCAAGCTGCCCAATATGTTGCTATGGAAAAGGCCACAGCTGCAGAGGTCCTGAAGAGCCAGGAGGAAGCAGCCCATGCCTCCAGCCAGCTCCTCCACAGCACTGGCGTCCCTGGTGATGTGAAGTCGGAAGTGGTATCCATGTCCGCCATGACAGTTCACCATGCACAGAGCTCTCCCGTGGTCATCCAGCCCTCCCAGCACTCCTCGGCACTGCTGAACACTGCGCAGAACTTGCCTGTGGGAACTGGTCCTCATTCAGCCAGCCCTCCTGCCGTTTCACAGGAAGTCACCTCTGCACTGCAGTCAACACAGGTCCCTCAGTCCCCGCAGACACCCATGAATGGTTCCGCCATGCAGAGCTTATTCATTGAGGAGATCCACAGTGTGAGTGCCAAGAACAGGGCAGTGTCCATTGAGGTAGAGTAATATTTTTTTTTTCATAAGCTCATAAAAAAGCATAACATCTGGGCCTTTCCTTCAAAGAGTTTACAGTTTGGTTGTAGAGATAATACATATATAGATCAAAGATATATTTTTATCAAAGATATGTTGGATTGTCAGAAAAGTCATGACACATTTTTACATAGAAAAAAATAGTCATGACTTTTCTGACAATCTAATATATGTATTATATACAAATAAATATATCATAGATAGTTTTTGTGGGGTTTTTTTCGAGAGGTTTCAGAAAAGGGGCGCGTGCGCTCGCCAGACAGACAGAGAGAGACATAGAGACAGAAAGCAAGAAATCACCCCCCAGGGGGGATGGCCACACCACAATCCCTTCTCTTCCATTCTCCTCTCGGGATCTTGGGCACGCACGCACACGCACCCGGCCTGATTTTTAAGCCACCAGGTCCGGGACATGAACCACGGTCGACTATGTGGGAGTCCAGCGACATAGCCATTACACTAACTGCTGGTTCCCCATAGATAGATTTTTGAAAACGGATATGGGATTCGATGACCAGGTGAAAAGATAGGTGACCAGGTTTTGGAAAAGAGTAAGATACTTTTCCTGTAGGAAGGTGATGCAGTGGTATGCAGGTAAATTGTTTTTTGTTTTTGGGGGTTTTTTTGAGAGGTTTTTGCTACAGGGCGTGTGTGCTCGCCAGACAGACAGAGAGACAGAAAGCAAGAAATCACTCCCCAGGGGGGATGGCCATGCCGCAATCCCTTCTCCTCCATTCTCCTCTCAGGATCTTGGGCACTCACGCACACACGCCTAGCGTGAGTTTAAGCCAATGGGTCCAGGACTCAAACTGTGGTCGACTATGTGGGAGTCCAGCGACATAGCCATTATGCTAACTGCTGGTCCCAAGTATGCAGGTAAATTGTTAACAACCCTCTCTTTGAGAGTAATAGGCCTGACTTGTAGCTTTGCCAATTCCTGTGGTGTAAATACTCCCATCTTTGTTGACTTTGAGTTACAATGTAATATCACTAAACACAAAATTGGAAAGAAATGTGACATCAACTCTCTAGACCAGTGCCAGCAGGCTCAAGCATTCTGCTGTGCTGAAGGCAAACCCGGGGGTTGGGAGTGCCACTGATCTTGTAGAGAAGGGGTGGTGAGGGCATTTGAGGACAGAGGCATGCTGGAGCAAGGGTTAGGACCAGGATTAAACCTGTTTAACTGAAACAAGAAAGAGTAGATAAAACTGGAGACATAGGCTTGAAACTGATGTGAGAGAGTTTGAAAACCAGTCTAAGATGTCTGGAGTTTATTTTGTAGGTATCAGAGGAGTACTGCAGCTCTAATCAGGGATAGTAGAAAAGGCATCTTTAAGAGATTAATCTGGAAACAGTATACAGAATTGATTGAGGTGGCACATCTAGAGTTAAGGGAGCTGAATGAAATGTTATTGCAGTAATCAAAGAATGAAAGGTGGAGACAGTCAAAATGGGAAGAGGGGGAACCAGCAGTTAGCGTAATGGCTATGTCGCTGGACTCCCATGTAGTCGACCGCAGTTCGTGTCCCGGACCCGGTGGCTTAAAACTCACGCCGGGCGCGTGTGCGTGCATGCCCAAGATCCCGAGAGGAGAATGGAGGAGAAGGGATTGCAGCGTGACCATCCCCCCTGGGGGGTGATTTCTCGCTTTCTGTCTCTATCTGTCTGGCTGGCGAGCGCACGCGCCCTACAGTGAAAGTCTCTCAAAAAAAAAAAAAAATGGGAAGAGGAAGCTCATTCTTAAGATCAAATGATACAGAGGGAAAAAACGATCTGTTTTTAAATATTCATTTTATCAGGAGCTGGTATTGATGCCCCAGTAACACATTTTGCTTCCCCAGCTCATTCTTCCCCTTTATCCCATAACTTTCTTGCACTCATTACTCTATCCCCAGCTGCTTGGTCCTCACTCTTGTTTCCCTTGAAAGTCACCAGTGGGTAGATAATTCAGGCTGGGCATGTTTGGGTGACCTCTTAAAACTGCTACAGTCTTCGTCATGGCTGCCAGGCCTCTGCACATGAGGTAGCTTCCCTATGTCCCAGGGCAGCCGCGTGCCCTTAATCAGAGTCAGCTTTCCTAAAGTACATCGTGCATGAGGGCGTGACTTTATCGCCAGGGCCCACTGGAACATGGGTGGGGAGAATGCATTTCCTCCTGAGAACTCATGGATCCATCTGGTTCAAGCATCTAGCTCCTTTAAACATCTCAATACTTAAAGGACATCAGTGTGATGACACTGTCGTTTAACAAATTTACCGAGAACCCAGTGGGCATAATTATCTTTGTGATGTGTGTATTTTAAGTTTTGAAAGGAAACTTAGGAGGCATCTCTGAACGTGCCCTGATCTGTGGTTAAGGAGGCCTGGGTCTTTCTGCCAGCTCTGCCCCTGGTGAGTAGGGTCCGCTTTACGCATACCCTAGTAATAACTGAGCCCCAGTGCATGCCAGGCCCTCATCGGCTCTGGGGACAAGCATTGAACAGAAAAAGCAAAATCCGGGACCAAGCACTGGCTCTGAGAGGCTGAGCCAAAGGGGAAGGAGCTAAGTTCGTATCCAGAGACCTCCCTGAATGCACTGGGTGCATGTGTACCCATGATCCAGGGCTAACTGAAGCTGGGGTGGATCATGGCATCAAGATCCCAGCTGAGGGTTCAGTCTCCTTCACTCATGGAAGGAGTGACTAAGTGAACTCTGCAAAGAGAAGAAAGAAGAGAGGTTGTGCCCTTGAGAAACATCCCTGCTTGTAGAGAAAGACAAAGAACGAGTGTACCCAGGTGAGAATCAGTGCTAGGAAGAAAAACCAGCAGAGCCTGAGGATGGGGAAGGTGGTGGCTGTTATTTATATAGATGAATAATGTGAGATGAATTCTTCCTCCCAGTGGGACCCACAGTCTTCATGCGTACACTGTGCTGATCAGTGACCTTCGCCGTTCTTCACTATGGGTTCCACTAATGCTGCTGCTAATGTCCTCTCTGTCTTCCTGGAATGATTAACGTGCCATCTGTGAAATTATAGAAAAACGTTCTTTTAAAAAATTTACAGGGTGGGACCAGTAGTTGGCATAATGGCTATGTCACTGGACTCCCATGTAGTTGACCGCAGTTTGCATCCCGGACCCGGTGACTTAAAACTCACACCGGGCGCATGTGCGTGCGTGCCCAAGATCCCAAGAGGAGAACGGAGGGAAAGGGATTGCGGTGTGGCCATCCCCCCTGGGGGATGATTTCTTGCTTTCTGTCTCTCTGTCTTTCTCTGACTTTCTGGCAAGTGCATGTGACCTATAGCAAAAGTCTCTAAAAAAAAAAAATAAAAAAAAAAAAAGTTTACAGGGCAGCCAGTTGGTGGTGTGATGGTTAAGGCACTGGACTCCCACACAGCTGACTATGGTCTGAGTCCTGGTCCTGCTGACTTGCTTTCTCACTTTCTCTCATCAAATTAAAAATAAATCTTTTTAAAAGTGTTCTCAAGTGTTTAAAAATACATTTTGTGTTTATCTCTCTATTATGAAATTTGAAGGTGCTTATGAGACATGTAAACGATACCCTCCCATTTTATAAGTAAAAACTGTGACCCAGAAAGTCATACAGCATTCTTCGCTAGACGCAGAACTAAGACACAGGATTGATCGATTGATCAATTTTTGGTAATGAGGGTTTCAGTTTTTGTTTGTATTTATTTGAACATCTCCTTTAAGAGGAAAACGAAGTTTAAGGACGTGGTCATGGGAAGCGTACCTTGGGAAGGGAGGCATCATTGGTGTCCCTGTGTATTCAGCGTTGGTAGCAGCACACGTCTCGTAAAGGCTCAGTGAGAATTTCATGAAGGCGTCTCCGTGGATGAAGATCACCGGGCTTACATGGCAGCCCACCTAGTATAGATGAGGTCAAGGACAGTAGACAGTCCAGGTAGCCTGGACTTGACAGGGCTCGTCTGACGTCATATTGTCCCTCGGCGTGGAATCTAGCGCCTTCTTTACCTACACAGCAACCGTGTCACACCCCTCCCCACCCCAATGTGAAATCTCTAAATGGTTCTCTACTTTTTCCCTCTGTCTTGAACTTTCTTCCCTTACTATTTTCCTTCAGAAAGCAGAAAGGAAATGGGAAGAGAAAAGGCAAAATCTAGACCACTATAATGG